GTTGTCCTGCCAGGGGCCATCGAGCTGGATCTGAACCGCTTCCCCCGAGGAGCCAAGACGTCCAAGCAGTGCAGCCTGGAGATGGTGACCAACGAGGCTGAGCTGCCCATGATCTCCATCTTCAAGCAGAAGCGGGTCAAGGGCTGGTGGCCGTTCGTGGCCAGGGACGAGAACGACGAGCTGGAGATCACCGTAAGGATGGGGGAAAGGGAGGGTTTGCCTCCGGGGCACCGCGCTCTTGTGGGCACCCTGCATCCCCCCACATGGCTTTGCTCCCTCGGGACCCTTGTGCCCCGGGAGCGCGTCCCAGGCCTCAGCGCAGCTCTCTGCTCCTGCAGGGCAAAGTCGAGGCCGAGCTGCACCTTCTGACAGCGGAGGAGGCTGAGAAATCCCCCGCTGGGCTGGCTCGCAATGAGCCCGATCCCCTGGAGAAGCCCAAGTGAGTAGGAGAAGCCTCTCTGCAGCAGGGACCTGGGATTATGGAATTCTGCTCCCACCTGGACTGCTGCGTCCAGCTCCGAGCCCCACAACAGGAAAGATGTGGACCTGCTGGAAAGGGGCTAGAGGAGGCCACGGAGATGTTCTGAGCCTGGAGCCGGGCTGGGACAGCTGGGGGGGCTCATCTGGAGAGGAGAAGGATCCAGGCAGAGCTGGGGGGGCTCACCTGGAGAGGAGAAGGATCCAGGCAGAGCTGGGGGGGCTCACCTGGAGAGGAGAAGGATCCAGGGAGAGCTGGGGGGGCTCACCTGGAGAGGAGAAGGATCCAGGCAGAGCTCAGAGCCCCTGGCAGGGCCTGGAGGGGCTCCAGGAGAGCTGCAGAGGGACTGGGGACAAGGATGGAGGGACAGGAGCCAGGGAATGGCTCCCACTGCCAGAGGGCAGGGCTGGGTGGGAGATTGGGAATTGGGAATTGTTCCCTGGCAGGACCCAGGGAATGGCTCCCAGTGCCAGTGGGCAGGGCTGGCTGGGAGATTGGGAATTGGGAATTGTTCCCTGGCAGGAGCCAGGGAATGGCTCCCAGTGCCAGAGGGCAGGGATGGGTGGGAGATTGGGAATTGGGAACTGTTCCCTGGCAGGGTGGGCAGGCCCTGGCACAGGGTGCCCACCCTGGATCCCTGGCAGTGCCCAAGGCCAGGCTGGACAGGGATTGGAGCAGCCTGGGACAGTGGAAGGTGTCTCTGCCATGGCAGGGAGTGAAACAAAAAAAAAAAGATGAACTTTAATGTCCACGAATCCCTTTCCTACGGTGGTGGAGTAACGATGGGTGTTTGGTTCCCCTGCAGCCGCCCGGACACGTCGTTCATCTGGTTCCTGAACCCGCTCAAGTCCATCAAATACCTCATCTGCACCCGCTACAAGTGGCTCATCATCAAGATCGTGCTGGCCCTGCTGCTCCTCATCATGGTGGCCCTGTTCCTCTACAGCATGCCCGGATACATGGTCAAGAAGCTGCTGGGAGCGTGAAGGGCTGGAGCCTCTCCCGTGTCCCCAGCCCCAGGCACAACCTTCCCAGCTCTGTGTCCTTCTCCTCCCCGTGACCTCTGGGCAACCTGGGGTATCTCCTCCCTGCTGCTGCTGCTGCTGGGTCTCCTCTTTGCGTTCCTTCTCTGGGGGTCCCACTCAGGCTTTAGTGCCAGGGGAATGGGGCGGGAGGGTGGCAAAGATCCCCCAACTCTGCAGCCCGCACCGGGGCTGGGAGAAGTGCCCAGCTGGCTCCTGTGGGAGTCTCCGAGGCCTCTGCCCGCTGGAGTCGTGGCTGGTGCCTTCCGGGGAATCAGGGGAAGGAAAGGGGAGCTGGGGCTGCTCACTGGAGCTGTGGGAGGGAAAGGCTCCGTGGAGAGATGTTCGGAATCCAGGATGGAGCAGAGAGCTGGGATGGAGCAGCTGGGGACGTGCCAGCCCCAGCAGAGAGGGCACAGAGCATCCCCAGCACC